CTTCCAGTCTTGGAAAAAGAACTTGAGACATCAAGATTTCAAAAAGCAAAAAGAGAATAGTCGTTCACTTGGAATCTTTTTCTTTAGAGTAACTTAGGGGATAGTTGTTTTACGTACCTTGTACGTATCCGTGGGACTATATATTAATGGGTGCGAGCAAAATTAAAAATACTTCTCATTTCCCATACAATGTTATTGAAACCATAATCATGAGGGGAATTTTCCATTCTATGTTTGTTCTGGTTGCTGTATTGTTCTTTGGTATTGCAGAATTCTGTTCCGGTCGGAACACGAGCTTTAGCTGTATAAAAAGGGAGAGAGAAGCCCTATTGAAGTTGAAACTTTGTTTCCATGATCCATCACATATGTTGTCTTCTTGGAAAGGCAATGACTGTTGTGAATGGAGAGGAGTAGGCTGTGACAAGAATGGCCATCATGTTGTCTCAATTCAACTCAAGGGATCAATATTTGATCAACCTCAATTGTACTTGATTGACAATGTTGAGGAGGTTGTTTCGAGTTTGCTCATGCTGAAATACTTGGAACACCTGGACTTGAGCGGAAACTACTTCAACAAAAGCCTTATTCCGCACTCCTTTGGTTTGATGAAGCAGCTAAGTTACCTAAATCTCTCTCATGCTCATTTTGGAGGAAGAATTCCTAGTGAACTTGGAAACCTTACGAGGCTTCGTGTTCTTGATCTTGCTGACTATTATGGTGGAGCATTGAAGGTTGATGATGACATTCAGTGGATTTCTCGTCTCTCCTTTCTGCAACAACTTGATATGAGTGGAGTAAATCTAATGCTTGCATCATCAAACTTGTTCTAGGTGCTTGGCATGTTTCCTTCGTTATCATGGTTAAGTCTATCAGGTTGTAGTCTCAAAAATTGTCACTTACCATCTGGTAGTCATCCCCTTAATTTTACATTTCTTGGAAATATTCAACACTTTGATATTTCATGGAACTCTTTTCATGGTCCAATACCTATTTTTCTCCAAAACATGACTTCCTTGACATTTCTTGATATGAGTGGAGTAAATCTAAGCCTCACATCATCAAACTTGTTCCAAGTACTTGGCATGCTTCCTTCAGTATCATGGTTAAGTTTGTCAAGTTGTAGTCTCAAAAATTTTCACCTACCATCTAGTAGCCATCCCTTTAATTTTACATTTCTTGGCAATATTCAACACTTGGATCTTTCATGGAATTCTTTACAAGGTCCAATACCTATTTTTCTCCAAAACATGACTTCCTTGACATTTCTTGATCTTTCAAGGAACCATTTTTGTGGTAATATTGCAGAAGTATTGTTGCTATTGATCTTAAGAAATATGTGTGGCTTAAAATCATTATTTCTGGCATCAAATGAACTTGAAGGTGAGATGTTAGGTGTTCTTGGAAATTCATTTGAATGCTTTGGATATGAATTAGAGAATATGGATTTAGGAGAAAATAACATAAGTGGCCTTATGCCTAATTGGTTAGGGGAGCTCAAAAGGCTAAGATACCTTAATCTTAGCTCGAATACATTTGTCGGTCCAATCCCAAGTTCTCTTGAGACAATTTCATCTTTAAGAGAGTTGGATCTTTCAATGAATAAGTTGAATGGGACCATTCCTATGTGGATTGGGAAGTCGTTGGCCCTCCAAAAATTAAATCTTTTTGAGAATCAATTGAGTGGGAGTATTCCAGAGAGCGTTGGGCAACTTTCTAAGTTAAAGCACATACATCTTTCTTACAATCAATTGAATGGAAGTATTCCAGATAGTATTGGGCAACTTTCTAACCTAGAGTATTTGAGCTTTTCTTCAAATAAATTGAATGGGGTCATTCCAAATAGTATTAGTAAACTTTCCAATTTGCAAGTCTTGGATGTTGCATATAATTCTTTGGAAGGTGTCATTTCAGAAGCTCACTTTGCAAAATTATTCAAGTTGATAGAGTTGTCCATTGGGTTTAACAACTTGAATTGTGAGATGAAATCAAACTGGAGACCTCTTTTCCACCTTGAATATATTGGGATGGAATCTTGTAAATTTGGAACAGGATTTCCTGAATGGCTTCAATTACAGAACACAGCATACATGGTTTATCTCTCAAATGCTAGCATCTCAGGACCTCTTCCAGAAAACATCAGTCATATGATGCCTCAGCTAAGACACTTACTTCTTGCAGATAACCTTATAAATGGTTCGATTCCAAAGTCATTATGTAATTCAAAAACTTTGGAATTTCTTGATCTCTCAAACAATATGTTATCTGGAAGTATTCTTGATTGTTGGAGAAATGATCAAGCATTTTATCTTATGGATCTATCTTTTAACAGTTTTTCAGGTCTATTTCCAAACACAATTGGGAAGCTTAATTTTCTACATGTACTTCAGTTGAACAACAATAGTCTCCATGGGGAACTACATAGGGCTTTGAAAAACTTCAGTTCTTTGGTGGTTTTGGATTTGGGCGAGAATAAATTCTCTGGAAACATAACATGGATTCGGGAGCATGAGATTCACTTTCTAAAGGTTCTTCGACTACGAAAAACTTTGTTTTTTGGTAATATTCCTTTGGAACTATGCTTGCTCTCTCAATTGCAAATTCTAGATCTTGCGGATAACAATCTCACAGGAACAATTCTTCCTTGTTTTGGAAATTTCCCAATTATGGTGAATGCAACACAACTGATCCCTCACATGGATGGAGAATGTTGGCATTGGACGCATTTGATGGAAGTTGTGAAAGGGAGGTTCCTTGAGTATACAAAAAAACCACTTGGACTTGAGAGTAGTATAGATCTTTCGAGTAACAATCTAGTAGGATCCATTCCTGATGAGCTAGTTTTTCTTCAAGGATTGCACAATTTGAATCTGTCTTGGAATCACCTCTCGGGAAACATCCCTAAGAATATTGGACAAATGGAGAATTTGGAATCTATTGATTTCTCCCAAAATGACCTTTCAGGATTGATCCCGAATAGCATATCAAGTTTAACTAAGTTGAGCCACCTTAACTTGTCATACAACAACTTGTCAGGGTTAATTCCAAATGGCAATCAGCTCCAAACACTTGAAGATCCAACTATTTATGCTGGCAACCCTCAACTTTGTGGAGCTCCACTTTTGAAGAAATGCTCAGATGATGCGTTACCTCCAACAATTTCTTGCTCCAAGGACAATGATGAAGGAGTATTTGAAGAAATGTGGTTTTATATTGTTGTGATGTCAGGCTTTGCAACTGGATTTTGGGGAGTTCTAGGAACTTTGCTTGTTATGCAAAGCTGGAGATGTGCTTATTTCCAATGGGTGGATGATGTCAACAACTGGATCCTTATGGTTATAAAATTGAAAGTGGCACAATTCAAGATTTTCAATGGCAACCCAAATGAATTTGAAAGTGGCACAATTCAAGATGTTTAGTGGTAACTCATATGATCAGTGAGTTATATAAGGAGTATGTTGTTGATACTACATTTGTTACTAAATTGTGTTTCAAATTAGTGTGCTTGTATGTATTGTGTGAAGCTTTTCTAATTCTCGTTTGTGTACTCTTGGTTTGTCTCTAGTTTATGGGGAGTATTTACTATCAATGTTTGAGGTTGAATTATTCTTGTTCTATATAAATAGAGGAAAAATAAGCCAAGCTTGTTTAATACTAATTTGCATATTGTGAAATTACATAAGTATTCAATACTCTCTCTAGCCCTGTTTGTTTTCCTCTTGTTGGTTTTCCCAAAAATTTTGCTGCCATGCATCTACTTGTTTTACTGAATCTTTGTCCTGAGCATCGTATTAAGAGATGCAGGATCATTAGGAGGTGGCATCATATATGGGCCTGTGTCCGAAGAACTCTTCACTAGGGATTCCATCATAAATTTCATCTCTGATCCTTTGTCCTGACAAGACATATTCTCGTGTCAGAGTTCAACTACATTTGTAAGCACCACAAGCTTGAATCTCAAGAGTTTGGCATACTCATTCAAGAGATGGAAAATATAGTCATATACATAGTTCATCTTCAACTCCCGCTGAATAAATTCGTTTGTTGCCTTCCCAATGGCCTGTAAGATACATGACCTTATAACATAATAATGAAAAATGATTGGCACATTTTTTTGTTTAACATAATTTACAAAACTTATCGTCAAATTCAATTATTAAAATTTATAATTTTTAGTTTTTAATTTTACTTTTAATTCAAATTTAAAAATAATAATTTTTTAATAAATATATTATATGATATATTGAATAGATGATATATTAATTATT